ATTCCGTGGTGCCCGAAAAGTACAAGTTCGGGGTCGAATCCTGGCGTAGGTCGAATATTTTGCTTAGATTCAGCATGTTTGTGGCAAGACTTGCAATATGCGGCTGCTACTGACCAACAAAAACAATGATAAATCCCATCAATTATCTAAATCGTCCGGTATTACTCGATTTCAGGGCGAGAAGACTAGAAAGAGAGCGCCAGAATATGATGTGGCGAATTCCGTTCTCATCTCTGGAACCATAGAAAAGGTATCTAGTCTTTAATTTGTTCAGTAAATCAAAAAAGAATTAAGAAACAAACTAGTAGTTCTATCATGTCGGAGTTTTCAGAGGAAAAGAGATACCAGCTCTCGCTCGTTGCAGAGTGGAGTTGTCACGATAGATTCTGCAAGGAGAGGGTCTCTCGCTAACAGTCGGAACTACACATTCTACGTTCATGAGGTGACTATTTGGTATATTACCAGTTTTGCTTCGCCCGCTATCGCGCGCATCACACGGCAGGCTTTAGCGAAATTGGAGGACCCATGGAATATCAGCATGAGATACTCCATTAACCATCTCACTATTGACTGTGTTAGACCCTCCACAGTTTCACTGAAGCTCATCGAGAATACGCGTGATAACGTCAGAGCTGTGGTATATTGATCAACTGTAAACATCCAGCATTTTTCTTGAATTAAGATAATTTAGCGGTGAATAGGATTGCTGTCAGTCTCAAAATCAAAACGAAATATGCCTATTTACATAAGTGAGGAGCTAATGCTTATCATTCATTTACATTCATCATTATTTAGAACCACGAAAGGATTAGCGGTTTAATGAGTTTGGGTTTTCTTAATAGTCAGAAATGGAACTTATCATTCGCTGAAGACTTGTTTTTTAAAATTTATGCAGTCGAATTCTATTAAGTAAGCTGGACATATATATCGAATAATGTGCACGTACCTTTGTTTGTACTACTACGACTTACTACAATTTGTAAGTAGGAACGCTCTAGTGTCAACGCTGCGTAACGGAACTAACGACTTTTGCGTTCTGACGCGCCTTATCGGCCCTTATCAATCGTTATCAGTTTCTGGCACCCACCAACAATGTCCCCGTCCCACCCCACATAACACTTGTAAGTATGGTTGCTCTGGTGTCAAGGCGAGCCAGGCAACGGAATCGACGACTTCAGCGTTCTGGCGCGCCTTATCGGCCCTTATCAATCGTTATCAGTTTCTGGCACCCACCAACAATGTCCCCGTCCCACCCCACATAACACTTGTAAGTATGGTTGCTCTGGTGTCAACGCGAGCCAGGCAACGGAATCGACGACTTTTGCGTTCTAGCGCATCTTATCAGCCATTATCAGTTGCTATCGCTTCCAATCATGTACCACCAATGTTCCCGGGACCGCCCCACATAAGACTTGTAAGTATAGACGCTCCCTTACCAATATGAACGGCAAAACGAAATTGGCGATGCTCGCTTTCTAGCCCCTCTTATCAGCTATTATCAGTCGTTATCAGTTCCTATCACGTACCACTTGTGTCCCCATCCCACCCCCTATAACATATGTAAGAACCACTGCGCTATCGTTACTGTGACTCGAGCTATGAATTTCCGTTCAAACATACACACACACACACAACAGACACACGCTAGCCGCTTATATATAGTAGGATATTTTGGATCACTATTACATGAAATAGCTGTAATAGTTGCTTCTACCTAGGTCGGTTCTGATATCTGTCATTTCTTCACGTTTGGGCAATCAGGATAAAAAAAATTTCTAAAGTTTTAGCGATAAAGTGAAGTCATCTAAAAAGTATTGAATCTCTTACACAACCTTGAGTATTAAGGGAGAAATTGTAGCAGCTCACAAGCACGAATCAAAACTTCAAACTGGAGCGAGAGACAGCCTACACTGGCGTACGGTGAGTATTCGAGGCAACACATATAGAGAAAATGGTCGTGAAAATAAATTGAACGTGGAATTCGTTTACTTTTTAGTAAAAGAAAGTCTTTAGGCTATCGCAGGTGTATTGAATTGCAGGGGAGTATGGTGTCCCTGTCTGCCGTTGCAATTGTAAGCGAACGGGTCGAACGTTAGAGTTCGCCATCTTGATCACGAGCATCTGAATCGGTTCGTGGGTATATGTCGAGATGGACCACAAATGCTCTCGTTGTGGAAATATTGCTCTCGAGGAAGCTTTGATGACGTCATCAGGAAGTATACAGGCTAGAATCGATGCATTTTTTGTGTTTGCATTTATGAAAGATATGGCAAACGTGAGTCATCTTTCACTCCTGCGGGTTATTTTCCTGATGTCTTGATATTAGACGGCCAAATTTCTACTCATTCTAAAAAATTAACAAATAAAAATAGAAGCAGTGAGGCGAGAAGGTCGAATATGGCTTTAGCAAAAAGGTTACCGTCTTTTTCCAAAGCTAATCCGATTGTGTTGGCTGTATTCTTCGGAAACTTCCGTATTGGAAATTAGGGATCTTTATTTTGGAACCAGCCTTCACTTAAGCACATACCGCAACACACTATGGCACCTTCGTGACACATTGGAGGCTGTCTGGTTCGGGTATTGGCAGAAGTTTAGAAGTATTCCTAAAGAAGCTGCATTTGATTGTAAGCGGAGAAAGTATGGTACGGGAATACTGAGAATTAAACGACTGAACTACTCTATAGCAGGGTCAGATCCAACTCAATGGAAGCAAAAACTACTGGAAAATGTGTGGACAATCTCTGAATATAGTTTTTTTGTGTCAATTACCGAGCCCCTACAGAATATTCCATATATTGGGTTGGTGCATAATATCGTAGCGCTTGCATTTTTCATTTTTGCACGCAAACGTTTTGTGAAGAAATTAAAAACATAAAACTAATCAGGGATGTCCACTTTGCCATTATTTACGACTTTTATCCTATTTTGCAGAAAGTCACTGGATTTGGAATTGAAAAAAAGATGTTGGGCTCGTTCTCGAATTCCTCATTATTTCGCAATTTGTACGACATGAATACGGTCTTAATTTGAGTGAAATATGTAGGGTTGGTTAGAGAGAGGTTCGATAAGAACAATGGATTCTGAAGAACTTTTGTTTTGACGGTATTTTTTTCTTTATGTGAACTGAAAAATAACAGCTGTCGAAATGCCGATTTCTGCCGTCTGGATTTTCCAACTTCTAAGCATTATGTATGAGTACAAATATAATTTTGAGGGAAATGACGAAGTAATTTTTGTAGAGCGAAAAAAGCACTTTCAAAAGGTATAGGCGATTTTTAGGGTTTCTCTTGTACTGATTGAATTTTATACGCCCAAAAACGCTACGATATTATGCACAACCCATTAGAACCGGAAACCCTGGAACATGACATTATTTAGCTTTTGGTGGTTGGTGAGGCAGGTGCACGTGCGGTCCACCTTCTGCTTATATGCAGTTGATCAGTGCAAAAGTGGCAGTGTTCCGCTCAATCGCAGCGTCTCCTTAAAGGCATACCCCAGGATCACATTGGTGTGGCCCATGTGCACACGAATGTGATTGTACTGGTGGGAAGTGGGCCGGCAGTAAAGAAAAAAGGAAAAGAATCCGTCAAAAACGCTTAGGTTAAGGGCTCACTCACCTTCCTGATCGGCTGTGCTAAGGGAATGAGAGACTAAGCGCGGAGAGGAGAGTATGAGGCGAGAGAGCACTACAGATGAGAGAGCGCCAGACAACAGCCTGATAAGAAAAAAAAGTCTGCAGCTTGGGCAGCTTACTTTGCAAGGCCCAAGCGCTCTTATCGGTCGGTTTCCGTGCACGAGGACGCCACATCTGTGATTGTCCTCTAGGGTTCTATACTAGAGACCGAAGAGAAGCGTTCACACGAACTCTGCCTGGGTTGTGCCTTTAAAGTGTTTT